ATTCATGCCCTGTTCTTTAGCTCACTACACTCTTTTTTTGTCTTTTCTTTTGAGACAGGGTCTCACTAAATTGCTAAATTTCTCAGGCTGGGCTCAAATTTTCAATCCTCTTGCCTCAGCCTCCCAAAGTGGACTTTTCTTGCTGGTTTGTTTATTTGTTTTATAAGGATTTGATTTGCACAAGCTTGCTAAGGGCTAGCATGAACACAAAGAAATGATCTTCTCTATTCTGAGATTTTGGTTTTTTGCATTTGATATTTTAAAGCTCTTCCAAGACTAGATAGAACTAAATACTGTTGGAACGCCAATCTAGTTAAAGAAATATTATTTATACCAAATCCAATCATCAGTTCTCATAATGAAATGGGTTTATGGTGAAAATAACTTTTGTGGTCTTGAAATTTCCTTTATGGAAAAAGTTCCAGGTGATAGCACACACACCTAAAATTATCCAGCCATCTGAGGCCATTTCGGAAAGGGCAGATGGAGATGCACCAGACATTCATGTGAGCTTTCTACTGGTACAAACAGGCAGAAAATGCAAATTATCACAGGAGAACAGCAACCGTGAAAGGAAGGAAAGTTAGAAAACCTCATGCTAATATGTTAAAGTATTTTACATGTGCAGCAACAAGAAGCATCATAGCTATTTATCCTAACAATCTGTACAAAAGATGAGATTCTCAACTGACTCACAGGCCAGTAGATGTCAAAGGCTTATCCAAAAGTCACTTTCTCCAGCAGATGCAGGCTCAGTTTAATGCCTGCCTGTCTGAGGGTTCATTGTTGCCTTATCACTGACACACACAAAACCCAGAAGCACATTTGCTGGCTTCCTAGCATAAGAGAAAATCGCACACTTCACAAACAGATGTGAGTTTATTAAGCCTAGAATGACACCCCTCAGGAGAAATGGGCACTTGAAGCATCGCTTAACTTATCATGCTTCAGTTTCCAGGAAGACACCTGGAGTGAGCTGGAGAAGTCTCAAAACCACAGCAGGAGCACAGAACACCCACAGCTGTTGCGTATGTGTGCAAGTGTGGCAGGTCAGGTAGTTCACCCTCCCCTTCCTTTTCCTCGACCCCTCAGCATCTCCCTCAAAGGCTCACCCCTTTGATCCAGCTTTCGATCTCCTCCTCAGGCAGCCGGGACACTGTGCGGGGTAGAAAGCGTACCAGCTTCTCCTTGACCATAGAAGATGTCAAGGCGTCCTCCAGCTCCACCAGGCTGGCAATCACGTCTGCAATCTGCCCCGAGCCTTCCACCACCACACAAGGAATCTTACTTTTGACAGCGGTGTTGATAGCCTGGAAGAGGAGAGAGAGGTGGACGGATCTGAGACACAATGGTCCTCAACAGAACCCAGCTTGGGACAGAGGTTCTACATCAGGTTGGTGGACCGAACACACTGGCATCTCCTTGCATGTTTTCCTTTGAGACTTTTATTTTGAATCAAAAGCAAACCAAATGTTCACAACTGCCTTATGAGAAAGGTCAGCTGGTCATACAGCATCCTATACCAATAACAATAAGGGCACTGGGGAAAGCTCACATTTTCCATAAAGAAGTGCTTCAGAATATCCCTCTAGGCAGAACTGATCTTCCCAAACACTGGCATAACCTTTAAGTGACAATTATTAAGCCTCTATTCAGCATGATCACTGACATGTATTTTTGGCAGAAATTAACAATACACATACTTTTAAGGTTTAAAAATATTTTAAAAGCAGCAGCTACAAGTTTTGTGTTATTTTCTCACATATTTCTCCCATCAAATAATTTTCCTACCCATATTATTGAAAGAGATAAAAATAGATTTATTTCCTGGGTAAACATCAGCCACAGTTCTACTTCCTTTCCAGTGATCTCAGTAGCCAGCCTATTCCCCACCGCCTTCTCCACTGTTGGTGGGAGTGCAGATTGGTACAATCACGGTGGGAATCAGTGTGGCAAAGCCTCAGAACCTTAAGATTAGAAGTCCCATTTGACCCAGCAATTCCCCTTCTGGGTACTTTTCCAGAAGAATTGGAAACATCATAGCACTGCAATATATGTGCACCCATGTTTATAGCAAAACAATCTGTAACAACTAAATCTTGGAAACAACCCAAATGCCCATCAACCAAGGAATGGATAAAAAAGATGTGGCATTTTTATACAATGGAGTACTATTCAGCTATAAAGAAAGACAAACTTGAGGCTTTTATAGGTAAATGGCTGCAACTAGAGCTCATACTCATAAGTGAAGTAAATCAGACTCTCATGTGTAAACATCATATTGTCTCCCTAGTGTAAGAAACTGAAAGAGTAAATAAGATACAACAGGTACAATAGATATTGTGAAAGGGAAAGAAACTGCTCAGAAGGAAAGAACAACTGGGATGAGGAAAAGGAGAAAAGGAAGCTAAGATAATTGTACAACTAATTGCTATTAGTTCACTGAAAGGAACAGTTAGTGCTGATATTGTTTGATCAGTTTTGCATGCTTATATCTTCTAATCTGAGCAACTACTTTGAAGATAACAATATGCAATATAATAACCATTGTTAATTTCCTATCATCTTGTTTTGAAATTCTGTAATCATTTTTATTGTTTGTTTTTTTTTTTCCTCTTTAAAATTTAAAGGAGAAAGATACGGAGAAGGAGAAGGATATGGAGAAGTATACGAAGAAGGAGAAGGAGAAGGATGCAGAGAAAGAGACGGATACAGAAAAGGAGAAAGATACAGAGAAGAAGAAGGAGGAGAAGGAGGAGAAGGAGAAGGAGAAAGAGAAAAAGGAGAAGGAGAGGGAGAGGGAGAGGGAGAGGGTGGAGGAGGAGAAGGAGAAGGAGAAGGAGAAGGAGGAGAAGGGGAAGGAAAAGAAGCAGCCAGCCTAGGAGAATCAGAATGGTAATCACTTGACAGCAGATTAGGATGATCTAAACACACAGAGGCACGGAAGGAGCTGCAAGTTCCCTTCCTTCAAGGCTAATTGCTTTCCTTAGAAATGACACAGCCAATTGGGAGAAAGACATGGAGTCAGAACACAGCTGAGAGAGCAGACAGGTGGTCCTATGAGCCTCTGTCCAGCAGTGAAGGCAGTGTCAGGCCGTCGTCTTGGTTACTTTTCTCTCTTTGCTGAGACAAAATACCCAGCGCCCAAAATTATGTAAGGAAATGTTTATTTAGCTCACAGTTGTGAAGGTTTCAGTCTATACTCAGCTGGCTCCAAGGCAGAGTGGCACATGGCAGAGGGCAACAGTTCGTGGCAACGGAAAACAGCAAAAGCAACAAAAGCAAAAGGGAGGAGCGGCTGCTGGGAAAGCAAGCCTCTTTCCCTCCCTTATACTGTATGCAAACTATCTGCCCCAGGGCAAGTATAGCACTCATATCCATAATTCCAACATTGGACCATGAATCAATCATAAACTCTAGAAGCAGCTCCATGACTGCACAAGGCTTTGGGGGGACTTCCAGACACAAACCATAACAGACGTGCACTGGGAATGAGTAGCTAGAGAACATTAGCTCTGAACTTCCCTCCACTTGCCTCCTGTCTCCACCCCTTCTGCGGCTGAGCGGACCTCTGGACAATGCTTCAGAAATACTGTCCCCTAAACCTGCAGCTGCACTGATGCTCCCTCCACCCTAGGCCAAGAAATTTTCATTCCAAATCTGTAATCTGAGAGAAAGAGAATGCATGCAACTATCTCTCCATTGTTTTCTCTCCACCTCTTTTCCTTTTTTTTTTGTGGCTTTCTTTTTAGTGTTTATGTAAAGATCATTTCACATTGAAAAAAAAATTATTTTGCTGTTCCTTGAAATGCCTTTCCCTAGAAGGCTTCCACTTAATAATAGTCTTGATAACAGATCTCGTAGTGGGTATGCTACTCAATAAATATCTGTTAATGGATGGACAGATGGATGGGCTATTGTGCTATAAAAGAATAAACACGGAGAAGTGTTCCGCTATGATTCTAAGGAACTTTGTGAGCAAGTACTTCTTACTCTAGAGGCTAAGGACTGCAATTACCTTTCCCTAATCCAATACTTGGAGTTAAAATAGGATGGGAAGAGGGGGATTGTTGGGAGCCACTGAAGCTGGAAAATAATTACACATGCAGGATGAAGCCAGCCTGAGAACACGGGAGTCCCAAGAACCCGGGAGCTCCTCAAAGCATGTAAACAAGCCATTGTAACTTGTTAACTGATTGCTGGGCAGCAAGGCCAAAATTAACCAACCTCTCCAGGGTATAAATAAACGCCCCTACTGTTGAAGTCAGTCCTCATGCTCATCAAGCAAGAGGTAACTCCACCTGACCCCGGCTATTGTCTCTTGTCTTTATTTTCTAAATCTTCTCGCTGTTCTCTCCCAGGGACCGCCAAGAGACCACCGAGTTCCACAGGGGATATGCAACTCAACACGGATATTAATTAAAATAGGAATTACACATTATTTTCTTCTAATGTCCACTTCTTACAAAAATGAACTATTGAAAATGAGGTCTTCCAACATTGGTTAGGACACAATCACTATGAGGATCTTTTTTTAAAAAAATCAACAGAAATTCTTGCTGGCAAGAACTCAGCAATGTCGGAGTTGACACTCCGAAGGCTCGGAAGGCTGAGCTCTTGCTCGTTGCTCAGTGTTGCATGTGCAGAATCAGCCACGAAGCTTCCCAGGCTCTCAGAGTCACTCAGGGCTCAGGAACCCTCTGTGTGGGTATCCCTGGGAGCCATGTGGATGGGGTGTTGGTGGTCTGCAGACAACTAACATGGGGGTGCTCTGTGGGACAGCTCACTTTCCTGCACACAGAGTGGCCAGAGTTTTCCCCTACAAGCACTGAGTGCGATCCTTAAATCTCACGAGTGAATGTCCACTCATCTCTTTGGCAGGCTGACTGTCAAAGCTGACACTAAATACAGAGGTTGTTTATGTCACTTCAAACCCTCCTCCCAGATCACCCAAGTCTGTGAAGGAAGCAGGCTGTGGCAGGAAGACACTACCTACTTGCTCTAATAAAAGAGAGTAGTCAGGACAGAGTAGATAACCCCCAAGTCCCTGAAATGTGAATTTGCTTGGTAAGCTTGTTAAGAGATATTCTCAAAAGTGAAGCCAGGACTCACTTTCAAAGTTTCTCTTCCACCTCCTTGGGCAAAACACACAATGGGGATTTTACCACCATAGTTGGAATCTGTAAAATATAAAAAGTAAAGTTCATTTTGAACTCAATAGACACGCTTGCCTACCTCCTGGAACAGGTGCATCAGGAGCTTCTGCCCTGGGAGGCCAGGGCTTGGGATGACAGCTGACACTTCAGGAATTTGACCTTGACACTCTACTTGATCACAGTGGAACACTCTTTGTTCACCACACTAGTGACAGCATGACGCAGATCAGGTAACAATTTGCCCCTAGTATTTCAAATGCTGAAGACTCTGCTTGATTTAATTTTGCTAATATGAGTGGCTAGATTCAAGTTTATACTTAAAACAATAATTCTTTCATTCATTTCCATAATCCTATGCTTTCTTATATTTGTATGACTAGGTAGCCTCTTAATGAAGTTTAGAATATATCTAAATCTTTCTTTGTGTATAGCTCACTGTGAAAGAAAACAATTACTAGTATCTCCTGCAAGTCTATCACTAAATCACAAGGTAATTTGGTTCCACAGTGGTACACATCTCAACACCTGAGCCAGAGGAAGAGAGAGTATATGTCAATTATCAGATCAAATAAAGGCTTTTACTCAATTCCATAGAAATAGCCAAGATTCACCCAAAGAAACACATCACCCAGTTGTTTAACTGATGGCTTTGTTTTTCATCATTTCTACCCTAGTTAATTGCATTGTTTCTTACACTCGTGTTTGCCATCACTGATCTGATTTGTTCTGAAGGGCTGCCTGGTAGAAGAGAAGCCAGCAGGCTTTCTCTGTTGACAAATGACAGTGGAAGAAAACAGCATCTGTCACGGCCTTCAGCATGTGGGAGGGTACAGATCACAGTGACCCGGGCAGAAGCACTCTTGGGAGGTGAAGAAAGAAGAGACATGACAGCTCTTGTTTAGCAACTAGGACACCTAGTCAGGAGGGCTCATTATACATCACTTAACAACTGGCAGATGTCACTGGTGCTGCCACTGTGGGGCACCTATGTCTAGTATCCCACTTTCTAAATACTGACCTGGACTCGTGCGCTCAGAGATGTACTTCTCCAGCTGATTGCGGAGCTTGGCTTCAATGGTGGGGTGTCCGTGACACCCATTGTCCACAAGCAGCAAGTGAGTGTGATTGTTGTCCAGGATATACAGAGGGTCCCTCGTAAAGTCATCCATAATGTATTGAGCTGAAAAATATCCCTGCAAAGCACAGAGAAACTTGTCTTTGAGGTTTTCTTTGGTGACCAAGATGCATGAAGACAATTCTATAATCAGGGTTAAGGCTAATACATTGGATCTGACCATATTGATGCCTCCTCCCAGATTCCTAGGTACACAACAGACTTGAGGAACTGATATTACAGGCTTCCTTTTAAATATAAGGAAATGGGGGCTCAGAAAGTTGGGTCAGCTTGCCCACTGTCACACATATGGCCAGTGACAGTCTAGGATCCTAAGTCCAGCTCATGGTCTATTGGCCTGTGCTCGTTTGCATATGACAATGGATAGCATTTAAAGGTACACATATACTGCATGTGTGTGTAAATGCATGCACTGTATGGGAGGCTGATACACAAGAAAAGGTACACATTGAGATAGATATACGATACAAGTTTGTCTGGAATCTATCATACCAAGACCTGGAGATTAGAAGACAAACAAAATAGTCTTTGTGCTTGAGAAATGCCCAGTAACAGGACCATAAAAAGAAACAGTTAAATAGATAAATTGTCCTGGCAAGAGCAGGAGATAAAAGGCTGGGCAAGAGCTTAAAGAATCTTTAACGTATGCGTTCCTGACTCTCATGCTCCCCTGCAAAGTTGTTTAGTTTTAAAGTCTCAGAGCTGCATTAAAAGATGTTTCAACTTTACCTCAAAGCATAGAATGTGAGTTGAAAACTCCAGGGAGAGGAAACTTATTGATTCTACTAATGACACACACAGAATCAATACAAAGGCAGAAAGGAAGGAGAATTCAAACACTGTAGTTCTATTCTCTAAGCGCTTCTTTCCCCATTAGCACCATCAAGCAGGAGGGCCCTGAGCATGGCAGATGAGACAATAAATATTGGCGAGACAAGTACAGCCAGGTGTTTGAAGGAAAGCCCTGCAAACTTCCACGGGGCAAATAATTCCCACTTCCACTGCACCTTCCCAGCACACGACCCTGATTCCAAAGCCTTAACCAGGAAAGAACCACAAAGAGAAAAGCCAAAAAACTATTCTCTTTATGTATGAGGATACAAGCAACCTAAGAAATCGTTGGCCAATTAAATGTATCAGGCTAATTAAATCATTTGCAGTTGGACATGTGGCATGCACACACACCTGTTGTCCTCTGAGAGGCTGAGACAGGAAGACTACAAGTTCAAGTCCAGCCTGAGAAACTTAGCGAGACCCTGTCTCAAAATAGGAAAGTAAGATGGAAGGAAGGAAGGATGGAAGGAAGGAAGGAAGGGAGAGAAGGAGGGAGGGAGGGAGGAAGGGAGGGAGGAAGGAAGGAAGGAAGGAAGGAAGGAAGGAAGGAAGGAAGGAGAGAGAGAAAAGAAGGGAAGAAAGAGAGAAATAAGGGCCAGGGATGCAGGTCAGTGTGAAGGCCTTGGGTTCAATATCCAGAATCACCACCAAAAAATACAATAAAATCATTTGTGCAGTTTCAGTCCACTAGGTTATGAATAAAAGAAAAACAACAGCAACCCCAAGATGTAAAAGACCTTTTACACTCAGCATTCATTCTTGATTTTTAAAAATTATCAACTAGGAATAAAATGTTGATATCTTGTAACAGTTTTTAAAGTGCCTGTGTATTGACCTATAGTCAAATCCTGTTTATCAGTGAAATATTAGAACTATTCCCACTAACTTGGACACCTGGCTGCCTGTCAGGTACCCGCTATCAGAACTATTATTAATGTTACCCTGACATTACAGCCAATGCAGGAAGAGGCACAAAAATCACAGAGCTGTTTTAAAAACTAAAGTTATTTAACAATAATATGGCTGCAAACCTAGAACACACAAAGAATATGCTGAAAAACTATTTGAACTAAGAAGACGGTATACTAAGTATCTGATTCAAAACAACAGTAAGCAAATCAATATTTCCATATGGACCAGAAAAAAACTGTCTCAAGAATTACACAGAATCAAGACGACATTTACAACAATAAGAATATAAAATCTCTAAGAAGAAAGATGCAGAACCTACAAAAGAAAACCATAAAACTGTCCTGAAAGACAGAGACTCACACAAGTTGAGGGACCTATGTTACTGGAACAAGATGTGACATTGTCATAATTTTAATTTTTTTTTGGTATCAGCTACAGTTTGGCTTCACTCGGTGAGTGTGTTGTTGTTGTCATCACTGTTGGTTCTGTCTTGGTGACTGTGTCTGCAGAAGGTCTTCTAGTTTATGAAGAAGAAGCTTGACAACAAAGAATCAAACATTTTTTGCAAAAAGAAGACTGAGTAGGGACCTGTGCCACCTCTGCGAATGCATAAATGATGCCAGGATCGCATTTAAAGTGTAGCACTGAGTCAAGAAAAACTGATGCTGGAATGGGAAGAACACTCTGGGTGAGATCCGAGAAGCAGTGTGGAACGTCAGCGCTCGTGAGATGTCGCATCGCCCCCTGTCGGCTGCACCCTGGTCCTGTTCCGGCCCATCCCCAAGGGCTGGGTTTTGCAGTGAAGCCTTGAGTATAAACTACATAGGAAGAGATGGCCAACAAAGCTCTTCTGAAGAGTGGATTTCCACTCATACAGAAGCCCAAAAGCCATTCTGCAGGGGAAATGTTAAAGAGAACAAGAAGCCGGCCACGAGATCATATGCATTTGTTATAAGACTAAAGATCATAATTAAACTTAAAAAGAATAAAAACTTGCATTAAAATCCATCTCTAAAAGCAACACGTTTACTACAAAGATTTGAAAAATGCACAAAATAAGATGAAAACTAAAATTATATTTAATTCCATGACCCACTGGTAGTCATCAAGATTTTCATATATTTAGCTCTTTTCTAGGCACATATATATTTTTCGTAATTTTATACTTAAAACTATATATCCCATGCTATCAGAAAAACTTTAGAAATATTATATTAATAGCTCCATGATTTTCTTTCATGTTTGTGTAGTAATCTACCTGAAGACTGTCCCATCTAGTAATAAATGTTAACAGATATTATTTGGCTGTTATCAGAAATACTTCAGTGAACATCTTTGCCCAAATATGAAATTCTTCAGCAGTGTTTTTATGAGTATGATTGCCAGACCTGCAGTATGAGCTGTTTTTATGGTCATGACACACACTTCTAAATGTTTTTTTAGCAAAAACACAAACTTGCTTGAGAGGAAATCTGTAAAGAAGCCGTGCTTCTGCATGTAAGAGAAGACTATAAACATTTTTTAAAGTTACAAGGATTAGATAACTATTTTTACTTGCTAGGTTAAGCCATCCAACTGAAAGCAATTTGTTTTTTTTGTTTTTTTTTGTTTTTTTTTTTTTTTCAACTGAAAGCAATTTGGAAGATAATTTTTCATTTCTCTTTCAGCCCCTTCAGTGGTAATTCCTTCATTCAGATTTTCTAGTTCCTTTTGAATCAATTTTGGAAAGTTATCCTTATATAAAAAATAACAATTCTCAAGAGACCTTAAGATTTATTGTTAGACAACTATATGCAGCACCCTCACAGAGATACTGCTAAAAATTCTGTGCCTGATGCAAAGCCCCACGTGTCCACCTTGTATTTTGAACACAGGTATGCACACGTTACTCCCTAAATTCACTTCCAGGAAACATTTGCAATGTCGCTCTCACAGACCTCTTTGGGAACACAGTAACTGACCAAAATTCCTGAGGTATAGCCTAGCTGTAACAGTACTACACAAAATCTTTTGGCATGGACTCAGGTTAGGTTATAAAGAATGAAGGACCTGACTTCTAATGTGAGATTTCCTCTCTCTTTTCTCTTTCTTTCTTTCTTTTTCTTTCTTTTTACCTCTCTCTCTTTTTGTGTCTCTCTGTCTCTGTCTCTGTCTCTGTCTCTCTGTCTCTGTCTCTCTCTCTCTCTGTCATACTGCAGACTGAACCCAGGGTCTTTGCACTGAGCAGTATCACCAGCTCATCCTTAATGTTTTGTTTTGCTTTGCTTTGCTTTGAGACAGGGTGTCACTAAATTGATGAATTACCCAGGCTGAGTTTATTATAGGTGTGTGCCACCACACTCAGCTTATCTCATTGATGGAGACCACTAAGAAGCAGCTCTGAGCAGGATTTAAAGTTAGCCAGTTGGCTTTCCATGTTAATTTCTGAGTCTGTCCGAGGCCTAATCCTCTTATCTGAAGACGGCCAGTGGACTCATAGTAAGTGAACTTCTGTGAGTCACTAGTCATCGCTGAGGTCTGTAGTGGCCTGTGAAGCTGTGATGCCTCAAAGGACAAGACAAGGTCACAGCTAAGGCCACCTGGCTCCAACCTCCATTAACTAGATAAAGACTATAGCTGCAGGCATCTCACTCCCCACAGTGAAGGCCTTCCTAGAGATAACATAGTTCTCCTAAATTAACATAATGAGTTACTTGGAGAAGTCCTTGAATGAACTCTCAAGATCCTGCTCAGACTCCCAAGTTTTCTTCAGTATCCCCCTTTGTTTGAAAACCAAGTAAATACAGGCTGCCTGGAGAAGTTCTTTGTCTTAACCCCCAGAGAATCTCAAATTCTGTCAGAGGGTTTTGAACCTCCTGGAGCCCTAAAATCAATCCACTTGACTCTTTTATTTAACCCTTCACTGGGGGCTGAGGATTTAGTTCAGCAGCACAGCACCTGCCTGGCAAGTGCAATGTCGTGAGTTCAATTCCCAGTACAGAAAAAAAAAAAAAACCCTTCACTGTATACTCATTTGGGAGGTTGCAGGCATGATCAGTTCACAGTAATTAAGGGATAATATTAACCAGTTGTCTCATAACAATTTTAATGAGTAAAACACATCTGCTGTTAACACCTTCTTAGAATGCTTTACATAGCATCCCTGCGTTTAATTCCCGTGGTCCAAAGGCTGTCCTTGGGTGCCAGGCTTCCCACAGGCTGTCTCCAACCCAGACCCCCAGTGCTCAGGCCACAGCTCCAGGTCCTGGCCTTTCTCTCCCCTGACCTCCCTGTCCCACCTGTACCTCAGCTTCACAGCTCCTGACGAGGGTGTCCCGGTTGGAGACCATGCCCCAAGCCGCTATGCCAATGGCCACGATGTTCTCTTCGGAGTTCCTGCTGATGGTGTTGTCCCTCACCACCTCCCCGATGTACTTCATCAGGCCATAATGGGTGCCTCCTGTGAGAATCCAGGCGCCTGCCAATGGGAGGGGGTGGCATGGAACACATGTTCAGCTGGCGCTGGGTGAGGTTTCCATCCTGTGCCCACAGACCCTGAGAAGCACTCATGCCCATGAGTGCCAGGACACAGCAGTGGTAGCCACACCATGGAATGACCCTGGCCTGCCCCATAGGGACAAGGTGGAGAGGAGCACCTCTGGTCCTTAGTGATCCTGAGGGTGCTCATTAGAAAACACAGGTTCCTGGCCCCAATCTAGATCAACAAGGACCTCAGCCTCTCTTGAAGTGAAGCCAGCCAGTCTGAGTCTCTAATCAGTCTCGAGCGGAATCTTATATGGGCAATGAGTTTCTGGCCCAAGCGTCTAAGGAAGCTAAGCAGTGGCCCTTTGAGTACCATGTCCACAGTGGTCAGACCAATGTGGCTCATCCAGGTCTGGCCCTAGTGCTAGCGACTTTGCTCTGCTTTATAATTACGTAGCTGTGCATGCCTTCTCAAGATTGATATTTGATGATATTCTCAGTGCTACAGGTTTTGTGTGTGAGTTTGTAGGGGGGTATGTATGCAAAATAGAAATCAACTGTCATAATGGAAATGTCTGCCCACACGGGGACCCACCTCAGGGCCAGTCTCTGGCCTCTCTAGGTCAGCTCTAGGAAGAGGAAGGGAACCTTCCAGAGTTGGGAGGCAGCCTCTCATGCAGTCGTAAGAAAATCCTTGCATTCACTATTTGTCTCCACTGTCTAATTCCAGTATCGTCTCCAGGAATGCAGAACAGACTTAGTCACCTCCCTTATCAAAATCCTTCCAAAACTGTAAGATTATGATGATGTGGTTGGTGGGTGGCAGGTTCACTGCCACCACCAGCAGCCAGTTCTCAGGGGTCCAGCGCCCCCAGAGAACACTTCACCCTGAGCAAGGTAGCCCTCTGTCATCTAAATAGGAACAAGCAAGCTTCCAGGATGGTGACTTTTGTCTGTTTTCATCTACCACATTCCTAGCACCTAAAATAATTCTGTTACAATGCAGGCACTAAGTATTTGCTGAATGAATGAATGGTTTGCAGAATGTAGTAGCAAGGAAGCTAAAGTGCTCAGTTTCTTAACAAAATGACAACCCATAATGATCCCCCTGGATGGTCAGGAAATTGAGAAGAATAAACGGGGATGGGGGTCTCCAGTTCATCTTTGCAGTAAGTAAAGCCTCATATTTAACATAAGACACATTTCCTTAGTTCTGTCAGTCAACTAATCTTCAGCAAAGAAATTTCCAAATGTGAAGCTCAGATAGGCTGCACTTAAGCGTGAAAAGGTATCTGCAGAATTCCATGGAAGGAAAATCTATGACGCTGTTGGCACGTGGTCTTCAATCCCTGAGAGCCAGCGCTGAGGTCAGAAGACCAAAAAGACGTCGAAACACTACATGGGCTTGGAGTCCAAATGGAGAGAGAATTTTTGCACTAATGGACACTGTAAGGAGAAGTGGATTATTTATTAGAGAACAGTGCTCCCTGCTCTCAGGAGAAGAAAGCTGAGGAACTTGGGACTAAAGGCCAAAATACAAAGTTAAAGAAAAATGCTAAGCTGAACATCTCAAGGATCAAAACCACCGTCTTCTTCGTTTGAAATCAGACATTTGCACCGCCCTTGCAATTTGCCGGGCATTGTTTGTATACCCACCACAGCAAATTAAGTTTCCCATTGGAATTCATCAGAACATTCTGGGTAAAATGCTGTATGTCAGTGATACTATAGAAGTCTTAGGAGATTAAAAGCAAGACTGCCCCTAAGGAGCGCCTGCACACAGATGTAAAGAGTTAACTCCGTGGCACACTCTGCCACCGCTCCTTGTCTGCCCATTCACTTAAGAACACTGTGATTAAACCACGATCCGTCGCACAGTTCCAGGGTCTGGATTCTGCTCTCGGCCTCCCGCGTGGCACCCACCCCACCCCCCAGGTGCGCACCTTTGGACTGCGCGATGTAAATCAGCCGGCTGAAGATCTTGCGCATGCGCGGCTTCAGGGCGAAGTTTTTGGCCCCACCGGTCACAGAAATGACCAGGTTGGGAGTTTTCAGGTGCCAGTGCTGGGTCAGCAGCTCGTAGAGGATTTCCGCGTCCGTGTCGCAGGACAGACGGATGTACTGCGGGGAAGGGGAGATCCAGGATCGTGTCCTCCTCCCACCCACCGCACCCTCTCCCCACCCCACCCGTCCCTGCGTCTGGAGCTGCAGGGCTGCATGGGAGGCTTGTGGGGAGCCCTCCCGGGCCCCTGGGGGTGCAGCTGAAGGCCAGAGGCGAGAGATGACGCTGGCAGGTTCTGAGGAGGAGAAGGCAATGGATGGAGCGGGGCAGCTGCAAGGACAGAGCTGAGGGACACGAGGCACCGAGGTCCGCGCTTCCACCCGGGCAGCTTGTGGACAGGGCTGTCCTTGAGACAGGGAGCCCTAAGGAGCCCCCGTGGCAGACCGCAGGAACCTCAGGGTGTGCAGAGAGAAGTGTCACCGTGCAAGGGGCCACGTGCCTTCTCAGGAATGCCACAAGCCCGATCACAGGGCACTGGGGGCCTTGGGTAGCCGCGACCCTCAAGGCCCGTGTTCGGCGGCTGCCTGCCGTGGCTCTGTGACAGCCCTGGTGAGTTTTCCCAGTCAGCATCGTCTATTCACCACCTTCTGACTCTTACGCAGTCGCTCTTTCTCTGCCATCACTTCTGGTAGTTACTACCCGCCTCCCCCCCTCCATTAGAGGATTTGTGCTTACTGAGGCGGCCCACGCCCTCTCGGCCCAGGCTGAGGCCGGACACCGCCGCTTACCTTCCCTTTCTTCCCCAGCGTCTCGAACTGAATATCCCCGAAGGCGTCGGTGGGGAGCTCCTTGGTGTGCTTTTTGTAATTCCACTTCTCGGTGTCGTTGACCTGGGTGCCTTCCATGTGCTGGCTCTGGGCGTAGCCACACTTGCACAGGTTTTCCCTGAGCCGAGCGGAACCGAGGGGAAGGAACAGATTTCGTTTGATCTACTTAAACAGTTCAACCCACGTTTTGGAATAAACCATGCACCATGGTCTCAAACACACAAAAAAGAAATTGTCCAATCGTGTCCTATCTGCAGATCTGCAGTCGCCTCTTATTTTCCTCGTCTCACTTGGTCGCCAAGATACTACAGTGCATTGATGTTTTCTGCCTGTTTTTTATTGCCCTGTACTGGGAGCTGGGAGAGAAGGAGGTCAGAATCCTCTCTCCTGAGTGCGTCACTGGGCAAGCAGTGATGAGGTTCCTGTGGGGCTGGGTCCCTGAAATCTGGAAACTCAACCAGGTGTGATGGTGCTTGCTTGTAATCCCAACCTTTGAGAGGCTGAGGCAGGAGGACTGCCAGAAATTTGAGGCCAGCCTGAGCTACAGGTATCCTAGCCTGAACTACATAGCGAGACTCTGTCTCAAAAAAACAAAAAACAAAAAACAAAAAAATGCCTGGGAAGTGTTTCTTCAGCTTCTCACACAGCTCACAACCTACAGGAGCCCTGGGGCAGACCTCAGGGCCTCAGTGCCAACCCGCACGGCTTCCTAGCCAACAGTGCTTTCCTAAAATGGTGTGAGCTGTCCTTCACACGGCCTGTGCCCCCTGGGGAGATGCGGTCCCCTGAGGGGAGCGCCAGATAGTCCGGATTCGGCAAGACCATGCTTCCTGTGCTGGACATCAGCTGCTTGGGAGTCTTTCAACAATTTGGGCTAGACAAAGACAAACTGCAATGAGCACGACCATCTCCCATTTAAAGTGCAACAGAACTAAAAGGTGTCGTCCGTTAGATGACACACGCCCATGACAGGAAATCGGAAGAGAATAAAAACATGTCCAGTAAGTGGTCAGTCCTCTTCCACTCCCACTTCCACAGCATGCTGTAATCATTCAACAAATACTGATCGAAAACCCACTGTGAGCCAGATCTGGACTGAGCGTCTCACCACCCCAAGTGGCCTAGATGTCATTCCTGCCCTCAACTTGCTCACGAGCTCTTGGGAGGGGCCAGGTACAAACCTGGCAGTGTGCATCGAGTCACAAGCACAACACCCGCTTGCCTCCTGGCACAACCCCTCTCCTGCTGCGAGAGTCAAGAATGATGCAGACCGTCTAGCTGGCCTGGAGCATGGCTGCGCCTTGTCAAGGTGACCTCGGCTTCGGTGGTGCCATGCACACAAGTCAAGAAATCACAAAGGAGGGAGCAACCAAAAGGAAGTAAAAGTGCAGTAAGAAAAAGTCTAGAAACATCCCACAGCTATTGGACTGCCCTCTAGCTAGGCCTACATTACATCCTGAGAGCTGATTCTCAGAAAAGATGAATGCTAACAATGCAAAGGTTCCAATTTAGCCCCAAACAAGGCTCCCCTACAGAGGCAAAGTGCATCCTCCTCCCAGCTTCTTTCTGCCTGTCTCGCCTCTTGGTTCTGCCTCTGTCTTCCTCTTTCTCTCCCTCTCTCCCTCCCTCACCCCCCCCCCAGTCAATTCCTGAACAAAATTCAGAAGAGTGCTAGGAATCTGTCAGAGTGCTTCCTCAGTGGAGCTGGCAGTTAGCAGAGTGCGATTCATATCTGACCACAGAAACAAGCCAGAGGGGCAAAGCAAAGGGGCAGTGCAGCAAGACAGCCTCCCCACGATCACAGGTGACCAAATGTCCTGATTTGCCCCACACAGTCCCACTTGAAATCTGTTACCCAGGCCTAGTAGATTCATGCCCCGTCACTCTTACTGGTTTCCCAGTTTCTGCAGTGAAACTGTGTGGTCACCCTAACTCTAACCCAAAGGAAAATGTACCAAGACAGTGCAGGGGCAACCACAGATTTCAACCCTCCCTCACCTCCAGCATCTGTGTGGAATACACAGTCCAGAGCCATACAGGGTGACCCTACACAAGGATTCCCTAGACAGGCAGGCAAAACTGATACACAAAATGAGGACATCTGGTTAGGGTTGCTTCCCGCTAAACTATCTTGTATTCTCTGTCCCAGTGCTCCTGGCACATAGGGTGTTCAACAAATATCCTCCGAATGAGAGATTGAATGCATTCAAGGCTCTTCTTGAAAATAGTCTGTATCCTCATGCACCCTGGATGATTTTTGTAAAGGATTTATTTTTTCCTTCTAAAAGACAAAGATGAGCGTGTATAGCTGTCATGATCACAGGAAGGCTTGTGTTCTCAAGATATTCTTCACCACTGAGTTCATCAGACATATGGCAAAATGTACAATTATTCTAAATACACTCTGTGGCAGTAGGTCACATTTGATGCAAGTGATAATGCATTTCTAAGACTGTTTCTAAAATTACAATAGGAGGGGAAAATAGGAGTGCATTGTATGCACGTTTTCTGGCCACTCCAGGAGCAGAGGAGTTGTGGTCAGACCAAATTATGACCAAGCTTCTACTGCCTGGAAGCAACTGGTTTCAACTGGGTTACATGGACCTAGAGTTGTTCTGCTAATAGCGATATTTATTAAGCACTTCAGAAGCCCAAGGTAACTAGCCACTCAGCAGAGCAATTCTGTAATGAGGAGCAAATACGTCTCAGCGGGAAGTTTCCCAGCAACTGAGCCTCCTGAGCGGAAAGCGAAGGCTGACACATCAGTGCTCATCCCAGCTGGAGAGTATGCACTTGACACGGGCCCAGTGAGACTGAAACTGCTTCTCATTATCGTCTACACAGCTGGGGCAAGATGAGCCTGTTCATGAGACCCAATGCTGTGGAACTCTCCACACTTGATAGACCCAGGGACAGGAAGTTCATCTAGGATTTACACTGGTGTCTCTTTCTTGGGAATTTGGTACCAAATTTGGAATTAGGAACAAAAGAACTGCTCCCATCCCCCTTCAGGCTAGGTCTGCACTGAGAAAGAAGAAAGTGCATGTGCAGGGGGGAGGGAAAGAGACAGAGACAGAGACAGAGACAGAGAGACACAGAGAGAGAGAGATGAGAAGTGGCCAGAGAAGATTTCCCGAGCTTCCATACATCCAGTCCTGGCTTCTACCCATGCTCCAGCCCCAGCCACTCTCTGCATTTAAGGCACCACTCATGTGTTCTGTAGCAAGTCCCCTCTTTTAGTTAAACTAGTTGAGCTCTGTTATGACTTGGATCAAAAATGTCCTCCAAAAGGCTCTGAGTTCAGAGGTGGGTTTCGGAAGGAGACTGGACCATGAAGGCACTACACTCATTTGTGTATTGGATTGATCCACTGATGAGCTTACAGCTGCACGTGCTTTAGGAGTTGGGATCTGCTTGTAGGAAGTAGGAGGCCAGGGGTGTGCCTTTGGGGTGTATCTCATTCCTGGCTCCAGCCTTTCTGACTCTTCCTGTGTTTCTCTGCTTTCTGGCTACCATGAAGTGCTCAGCCCCTTCTACCACACTCCTCTGCCTTGATATTTCTGCCTGGGACCCAGCCAACCATGGACTAAGCTTCTGAAACCAAAATGAATCCTTCCTTTTCTAAGATGTTTCTGTCAGGCGTTTTGTTTCAGTGCTGCAAAGCTGACTAACACAAGATCTTTGTAACTGAAAGCCTTAATTGCTAGGCAGTGTGGAAATCATTCTTATTTCAAAATATTTGTCAAAGCAATCAATATTTTCTAGAACTATAAATATTGAGCTAGAGACCAGATGTGAAATCACCCATTTGGAGCAGCTCCCAGGGATGTCACTCAATTCAGCCAAAGGGAGATAACAGAAGTCACCAGGAATTGACCACAGTTTCCTCTGCTCATTCTCTACATTCCAGGGTACCTCCTGCCCCAAGGCTGCTTCCTGATGTTCCTCTTCTGTCTCTATCATTGTGCTGAATGAATAAAAGGACACAAACTGCAATGTCTACCAGCCAAATCAACAGAACAGCATTCACAGGATGAGCGGCTGACTCCCAGAGTTTATACTCTGTCAGAATGACTCATGAGGAATAAGTTTACGCTGATGACAAAGCAGAGATCTCCTAGTTTTTCTGCTGCTCCTTTTCTAACTCACCCAAAGTTAGAAAATATAGCAGTTCAGAACTTGTAATCTCTAAGGCATGATGGTAGGAATTTTATGTGCTACGTACATCCTTGAATCCTTAACTCCTTACTATAATCCATGGGGTGTACTTTGCTAGTTTTTTTAGGGTAAGAGAACTCAGTTCAGGAAAAGAATAATTGACTCAAGGTCACAAGTGAGCAGGCAGCTGAGTCAGTGTTGGAACCATAGCTGGTTCTAGAGCTCCTGCCCGTTCTTCTGCCACTGTGCCATTCGCTGCCTCTGTTCAAAAGAACGCAAACCCTTTGCTGCTAACCACACACCAACTTCCAGTCAGCTGATGGCTGCACTGTCTCTTCTGTCACCAACAGGGGGAAGATAAGGGGCCAAGAGGAACAGGAAGGGTGGGAGGCAGGATTAAAATAGTTCAAGTAGACTCAAGTACATCTGCTGCAAGAATGGCCAGCAGTCCTCAATCTGTTCATACGTTCACTTGCTCATTAACATTTATTGAGGATCTCCTGTGTGTTGGGCTGGTGGGGCCACTTCTGTAACCCAGTATTGCTACCCCCAAACACATGAAATCCAGAATAGAGGAAGAGAAATCCAAGGACCACACTTGGGAGAGGAGCCAATGAGGTTGACACCTTTGCACAGGTATGATGTTGCCTAGCAACTGCTATAGAACAGCAGCCGTTGTCAAGGCCACCAGTGTGGACTCCCAGGCTCCAGCGAATACTGAAGGGAGTGTAGCCTCTCTCGGTGACTTTATCAACAGTAGTACTGCCAAAACTAAAACTAAGGGGATGATGTAGTTCATGAACCAGTGCTAAATCTAACATCTTGCTAAATCTTTTCCGATCATACAGTTTCTAAGAATTATAAACAAAAATAACTTTAAAAATGACCTGATGAGTATTTGTCTGTTGTGGTAGAGGTTAATAATACCTTATTTATAGACATGGAAGCAAAAATGGAGGGAAATAGTAGCTTACGTGGCCTTGGAATCTTTGGTAAAGAAGACACATTCTCGTTTCTTAAAATTTGCTTGAATAAAATTCACCAAGTCCTTTGAAGAAAGAACATCATTGGATAACACATTACTGGTTTATTCTCATCCACTGATGAAATTAATGTGCTAAATATATGCATTTGTTCATGCTCCTCAAGCATGTTTTTTAAAAAGAGGCACACATTTAAGTTTTTATAGCTAAATGCAGATTTGTTTCAAAAGTTACTTACAGGGTCAGGGATATAGCTCAGTGGCACGGCACCTGCCTGACAAGCGCAAGATCATGAGTTCAATTCCAGGTACAAAAAAAAAAGTTACTTAGAGTTTCTTGTATGTAAATGGTAGCACGCACATATTACCATGTGTCTGTCTTTAAGGTTACCAGGACTAATATACAAATTGGATGATACTTTAGCACAAAAAAGTGCTAGATTCCCAATCCTCTTCTGCTTGCTTTTTGAAAGCTACGTTCCAAAACACTTTCCATCAGTGCATTTATTTCCTCATGGGCAGGGTGGCTAGGCACACTGGGAAGCCTGTTCTGACAGCCAACGAGAGCCTTCACAAATGAAGAACATCCCTTAAATTGGCAGAGGCAAGCTATTCAAAAATGTATGAAAATATGGACCATACCTACAACACCCTTCAAAGTGAGAGAAGATATTTGATGCATACATTAATCATCAGATGGTTGATGATCAACATCTATAATGACTATACATCAGTAGAAATAAGATAAACACCCCAATGGGAAAAACAGCAAAAGGCAGGAGCAGGTATTGAGTAAAAGAACATGCAAATAACACAAAATCACATGGAAAGAAGTTCAATCTCATTAGCAGGAGGCGAATGTGAGAAAAAGCCACAGTGAGATCCCATTTCACACCTATCAGTTTGCAGAAAATTAAAGACAATTAATACCCAGCAGGGGTGAAGGTAGGGCCATGGGCTTTGTGCTCACTGTGGGTATGGCCACTCCAGAGAATTGGCCTTGTTCCCCAGTAAAGCCACTTCCCTGCAGAATAGCCCCTCGTGCAGAGAGGCAGGGCATCTCCTGAGCCATCCTTGCACCCAGAATTCCTGGCAACGGAAGAGTCTTCAGCTTTGGAGGGTGTCTTTCCCAGGCAAGCTGGGGCCACTAGAGGGTCCTCTCTCCCACTCCTGCAGGTCCCCAGATGCCAACAACTGGAGCGCTCAGACCACGTCCTGTACAGCTGGCCTCATGGAACAGGCTGTCCCCAAGCCAGCCCTGACTCAGCATCCCCACGGGCTGTCACCAGCCATGCACTGGAAGGAAGTCCACAGGGGCCCATCACCACCCCAACCCTGCCTGGGCAAGTCCCGAGAAACGCAAGAATGGAGACCAGGGTCTCCACTTTCCCGCTCTGTGCAAGGGAGTTCCCCATCAACCCTACCCCTTAACCCAGGCCCATCACGGAGTGATGGTCACCTCTCCTCAGCCCACTGCAGTCCAGACTGCACTGTCCACGTTGCATTTCCTTGCACGCTCAAGAATGTTAGCAATGTCACTGTTCCTAAAGCAAAAGCCAAAAGCCCAAATGAACACTCCCTGAGGCTGGTACAGCAGTAGCACAGCAGTGGGCTGAGTAGACAGCTCCCACATGGATTAACATGGAAGAATCACAAAAACAGTGCTGAGGAAGGAAATAGAAATCTGCCCGATATAGGAGTGCCGGTCTTTGGACCGAGGACTCACTCCCGGCCTCGGGGTTTCCCGGAAGGAGGGCTTCCGGCGCACAGGGAGCTGCGGGTGGGGAGCGCCAGCCTTCTGGCTGGCTAGCTTCCTGCCTGCTGGCTCCTGGAGGGTGGGCCATGCGGCGGCGAGCGCTATTGCGCGCCGGCCCTTAGGCCGGCCACCACCGCCGCCGCTCAGTTGAGATCTATCATGACACAGAGAAACAGTGACACAATTGGCCCACCATGCACTGACAGCAGTTGCCCACCCACGGATGTCTGTGAATCATTGAAACTTTGAACAACCCCTGGGAATGCATGCCATACAACGGGCCACTCTTGCTCCTGCCATTGGGAACCAGAAAGGTCCAGAGTCAGTGGAGGAGCAGCTGCTGAACAAGGACTCAGAGAACATGAGAATGCAGACCAAGCCCACGGAGTCAGAGGTCCTGTGGACTGGGGTCCCCAGAGCCGCTCGGAAGCTGTAAACCAGGAGGACCTTGCACAATACTTGCAGAGACTCATTGGAAGCCATTCTTCCCCTGACAGTACAGGCTGTGGTGGAGCTCCGGAGAAGTCTGCAGCAGGATTCCTGCTGACTGTGCTGACAGTTGGGGAGAGGACACTAACTGGTTGTGGGGTCCCAAAGCAATGGGAAGCTGGAGAGAAAAAGCTACAAAGAATGGCTTTCACCCCAGATAGCTCACTTGAGATGTTAGTAAGAATTGCCTCCTCAGTATTCTATAGCCATGATGAGGAGGAGGCCAAGGAGAGAAAACAAAGAGACTGAGAAAAAGCAGCTGCTTTTGCTGCACCACTAAGAGAAACAGATCCCAGGTCTGATTCCCGGGGCTCCAAGAAGAACTCGACAACTGCATTTATCTGCTACCACTGTTAAAAGCCAGGCCACCTCAAGAGGAACTGCCCTAAGAGGCCCCATGGGCCATGCCCTGGATGCAAAGGAGACCACTGGAGATCGGTCTGCCCTCTGAGGTGGAGGCCCCAGAGCTCAGACCCATGCTACCAGTTAGTCCAACAGGAATGAGAGGGCTTGGGGCATGGTCTGCCTTCTCCCTCTGGCCAGACCGTCATCTCCATCGAAGAGCCCTGGGTAATCATGATATGGAGGAACAAGAAAACAGCCTGTTGCTAGACACAGGTGCGAGTCTCTCGGTCCTTCTTTTCAATCCTAGCCTTCCTTCCAGCCATCATACCTCAGTGAAAGGAGTCACTGGTGAGGAGGTAGTATGCTATTTTTGACAGCCCTTAGGCTGTAACTACTTAATAGGTCCCTCTTGCATATCTCTGTCTTCCTGAGAAACCACTCTGAAGATACCACCACGTATTACAGCAGCCATTGATATTTTCCTACTAATCTATCCATAACTGTGTAAAGTTTGTAATGTTCCTATCCTATTTCATAAATGGATGTATGTTTATTACTATGTGTTTCCTACAACAACCATTGAGAATAGTTAATGATTTTTCAATAGGTCACTCATGTATAGCTCTATTTATTTTCTTTAGAAGCCACTTTGAAGATACCAAAGTATAGCACAACAACTCTTGATGATCTCCTACCTCTTTTGTCTGTAACTCACTATTATTTGTCTATTTGTTTTCCTGAGAAACTATTTTGTAGACAATAATATGTAAAACGATAACCATTGATAATTTCCTACCATTTTGTCTGCAATTTGCTAAGTCCCCCCTATTATTATGTTATCCTTCTTTTATTCTTAAAAAAAAAAAAAAAGCAAAAAGAAATCTGCCCGATATAGGTGGTACATGACTATGATCCTGGCCACTCAGGAGGCTGAGGCAAGAGGATTATCAGTTTGAGGCCAGCCTGGGCAATTTAGAGACGTAGCAAGACCTTGTGTCAAAATAACAAAACAAAGACGAGGGTGGGGGATAAAGACCCTGGGTTTAATCCCCAGGACTGCAATAATGATGATCATCATCATGATGACAATAATAATAATAATAAGAAGAAGAAGAAGAATACATTGAAAAATAGGGGCTGGGGATTTAGCTCAGCGGCACAGCGCCTGCCTGGCAACCGCAAGGTCATGAGTTCGATTCCCAGTACCGGAAAAAAAACAGAAAAAAAAAGAATTCACAAAAGAATACTTCTAGCACAGTACCATGTATATAACAAATGGGCAAAGCTGAATAACATGTTAAAACTGTAAATAAAAGCAAGGAACAAGTGAGAAAAAATTCAGAATAGTAGTCATGACAACTGACAGGAGAGATGGCTCCCAACAAACAGGGCACACGGGGACTTCTGAAGCACTGTGACATTCTATTTTGAAGCTAGTGACGGTACTAGCTCATCTGTGACAACAGTCTTAAAGCTGGGAACTTATGTCTCTACCTCCTTTTCTATGTCTATTTCACAAGAAAAAGTTAGGAAACAAAAATAGTTCCTGCTCTCGTCTGTATTCAAAAGCCTTGCCGATCTGTGGCGCCGGTTTTGCTCCCTAATATTTTCTGGCCGTGTAATTAATCCTGAGTCTACACAGGCTGAACAGAGAAAACTCAGGGTAAGTTGTGAAATAGATGACGGTCTCAGAGCGGTGATGGCAGCCTCTGTGTTGCTAGAAATCCCCTCTGAGATGCACTTTTGCAGACTGCGCACACTCATGGTGAGGTGGAAGCCCAGCGCAGGGAAGCTAGGGGGCCTGGGGGTCTGAGCGCCAGGCGGCCTGCACATAGGAGGGTGACCTAGGATGGCAGGAGGGGATGACATAGGGCCCAGGGGTCCAGCAGGAGGACGCAGCTGTCTTCGTCCATCATCCGGACACCCTGATGCCTGAGGCTGAGTGTGCTCTGGGGGTGAGGGCTCAGGGAACTTCATGGCTCAGGGGTCAAAGAAGCAAAAAGCACCTGGTAGAAATGTGGGGAAGCCACCACCATCCCTGTCTATTCCATTTCCTAGGGGCCAGGGCTCAGGTGAGACTTGGGAGCAAAACCCTTGGAGGTACTCAGTCCCCAGGACCTGCACATGCAGGGCAGCACCTGAGGGCAGGAGGCCCCTTAAATTCTGCACCCTGAGTACCTCCCTTGCTGGTCCCAGTGCTGGGAGGCAGGCCCCAGCAGGAGGAGGGCAGGAGGAAGGAGGCTTTTGCTTGTTTGCATGGCTTTTTTTATAGCTCAGTGACAGAACACAAAGCCAGTCCCCCTGGGGCCCACCAGTTAGATCAAAGACTGGCATGACCGACACCCCATTCCTACTCCCTCCCCGCCTTTGCAAAGACAGCTGCTGTCCAGACTTTTCACAGTGTGCTCAGAGGGACGGCTGTCAGACTGGACTGGGACAAATGACAGCGTAGGACACGGCCTGAGAGTGCAGAAAACCTGTAGGGTGGGGGACTGCACGTGGTGTCAGTGAGTTCGGGGGACGAGCACCTGCCTGCTGGCACGTACCCCCAGCTCAGCTCATCCGAGAGCCACAGCTGAGCATGTCGAAGTACTGAAGGCCGTAAGGACACTGGCTCAGGATACGGAGAGATGGGTCCAAAACGTCTGACGAGGAAGGAAAGTGCAAGAACTAATCCAGGCCTCCCACCCGACACCCGGGCGCAGAGCTGGACGGGCGGCTTAGGCTTCAGAGTCAGTCCTGAGCCCACGGGATGGGAAGCAAGCGCTCCCAGCACTAACCACGTTGCAGTTTCCTGCAAGTCATTAGCCAAGGTGATATTCCCCAGTGACTTATCAAAGTGACAGTTAAACCCTAAAACGGCAAGTTCTTGAGAAACAACACAGAAACGAAAATGCTTCTCCGGTCCACAAAAAAACAACCTGCAGAACAAATAGTACTTGGTTCACGAAGAGTTGGTCTAAAATTTTAAAGAAGGCTGCTGGGTCACCGAATAATCCTGACTGCCAGAGTAGCGCTTTGCGGCGGGGCGGCGGGGCGGGGCTGACTTACGCTGTCGCTGTAGGACACGTCGGTGCTCCGAGACACGCTGGAGTACAGCGTCCGCGTGCTGCCCAGCGCGCCGTTCCTCCTGTTGCGCATGCTGAGGCGGGCTCCCTCGAAGGACATCTTTCCTGCGCAGGTTTGGGGACAAGGGTGTGTAAGCAGCGCTTCTAAGTCTCTCCTCAGCGCCCCTCACTCCACCCTCTTTCTTCGGCCCACAGCGTCCACGGTCCACTCTGCCCCCCGAGGTAACTGGACCCTGGCCCCTAATTCCTCAGCGTACGCCAAGACCCAGCTAGGCATTCAGCCCTTTGGTGCATCTTCCCCGTCCCTCAGGCCTGGTGCTGCCTCCCAGCTGGCAGCGAGATGCTACCTCGTTACAGCGGAGGGCTCCGGAGGACACGCTAGCCTCATCCACCCCGCACCACGCCCTGTGGCTTGCACAGTGGCCGCTGCGCTGAGCACTGCGGAGAACCAGCAGCTCCTAGCGGCAGAAGACGCAGCTGTCAGGCAGGCGGAGGATCCTGGCTCTGACCCAACAAGACAAGAGGGAAAAGGGCCTTGAAAGATCAGCGCACCCCACGTCAACCTGAGACTCCGGAAGTGAGCCCAGGGACGCTGGCACTCTCCTCTCGGGCTCTAGCACAGGCCGTCTGCATGGCGTTAGCGAGCCTCATCTGTCCTGGGGTTGTGACTCACAACCCCAGGGGTTGTGTCCGGGATGCTCCCAGCACCTTGAAAAGGTCCTGCCCCTCCGCCTGCAATCCCTAACCCAGACCCAAGTCCCGAGCCACAGACAAACGCACCAACAGCTAACTGCGCCTCCGCAGATTGTCCTGCCGAGTAGGTAAACAAGACATTTCTAGAACAAAAGCATCACCCTGGCCTTACACCCAAACCAGCCTGCACTCCTCCTCCAGGGACCACGGTCCTCCTCCCTCTGTCCCCACAGTACCCAGGAGCAGCCCTTTCTCCCCACCCTCGCAGCCTCCCTGATCACCTGCAGCGGTCACCCGGGCCCAGCTGCCTGACAGCGCCCTCTTTCTCACTGCCCTCTGCTTGCAGCCTTGCCCCTGCAGTCCGCCTCCGCCTGGAGCCCTCTTCCCCACACCCTTGTCTCTACCGGGTCATGCCCTGCCTTCCTCCTGGGCTCAGCCCACCCTTCCTTTCTTAGGCAGACCCTGGGGCAGGCTCCTGGGTATGTGTTCTCACGTTTCCCTGTGCCAAACCATCAGGACTTCTGCAGTGATCTATTCAGCCCCTGTCCCCTCGCTGAGGCTGGGGCCCTGTCTACCTGGTTCGCCATAAGACTCCCGCAGCCTGGCATAAAGTAGACTGTACAGGCATTTATCAGGTGAATCATGTGCATAAAGCAGTGCCCTCCTCGAAAGTCCTCCTTCACCTTGCAAGCTACCTCCACACTGTCCCCGGATCACAGACCCAGGGCAGCATGGAAACCTCCTACTGCACCAGAGAACCTCAGCACTTCCTTAAGCCCCACTCAGACTGGGCGGCCTGGACTGTTTAAAACCGTGAGTGCATCTTTTACTTCTCTCTCCGGGCATTTCAAAGACAGGATCAGAGTATTAATTGGTACTTTACATACATTATTGTAAAACCGCAAATCAATCCTGCAAGGTATCCGTGATGATTCCCATACAGCAAATTGCTCCTAAGTGGAACTCCAATGGTTAGGAAGTGATTGCATTTGCCTTGCAATGAAAAACTGCTTATTTGTTGAGAAGGAAAAGGAGTATTGTTGCGTTTGAAGCTCATCTCCTCCTCGGAAGAAACGGGAAAGCTGTGAACCATGCCTCAGGCAGCCCTGTGCTGACACCTCAAGAGCTTCTATACGCACTAATTTCCACCCAGTAGTCTTGAGGCCCCTTGGTACTCCAGCTGATTAGGATTCCAGGTGTTCTTAACAATGCCTTGCAAGACCCTGGGACCCTGCAGGTGTACTGATCTCCTAGTGCATTCTTTCAGGGTTTAAGACTCTGGTATAGAAGCCGAGACTTTAGAAGAAGAGACAGAAAGCCTAAGGCCCAAGGGAAAAAATTAGTAGAGAATTCTCAAAGGAGGGAGAGAGAGAGAGACGATCCCAGGGGGGTTTTGGGAAAGGTTGAAGAGAGGATATAATGCCCCCAGGGGAGAGAGAGCTGGAAATGGGGAAGGTGGAGGAAAAGCAACCAGAGGGTAGGAAAGGAGAGAAAACCAAGTCGGGGAGGGACGTGGGGAGAATCAGAGACAGAGGAACACTACCAGATCCAAAACCTTAAACCACTGAAAGGTGGGCAAAGGGCCAGAATCCCAATTCACTGCATGCGGGAACCCAAATTCTTACTCAGCACAGAAAGATTTCTATGACAACCTTCTCTTGTACTGAAAATAGTAAAGGGTTCAGGAAAACTGGAACACCCAGCGGGATGCTCAGGGGAAAGCATGCCGTGGCGAGGAGAGGGTGGCAGCGTGACATGCTCATAGGACCGGAGGGGGGAGAACCTGCTTCACTTCCTGCCTCCCCCATGTAGCAACAACATAGTGACAATGTGGCAACAGTGTAGCGAGGCTTTTGACACGATCATGGTTGGCCCAGTGAACTGGCTTTGGATAATCTAGATAAAATAATCTGAAACACGTAAAAAGTTACACTCCCAAGACCTTCATTGCTGAGCTCTTTGTAAAAGGGAGACTTGGAGAGTACCTGCATTTCCATCCATACCAGAATGTCCCAGCCAGAAGGGACAAGATGACGGGGCCAGAGGGGGATGTTTTAATAAATCAGAAAAATTGCTATGATTTATAGTGAGCAGGGAGAGTAGAAAGCAAGACATCATCAAAGATCTGACTTAGAGCCTGGGTTCGACCCTGAGACTTGAGTGAGAGGTTCCTCCGCTCGCTGTGGTACAGGTGCACCTCTTCAGTAAAGGCAGCTGTCCAAAACATAGTGAATATAGACGCTTGAATGGGCCGGACACCTGAGAACACACATGCACTCGTTAACCGTGGCTCCTCGGGGGCGTGGGGCTAGGAGCGATGTTGACTTTACTCTTTGACTTTTTACACTTCCCCAAGTTAAATATCTCACTTATGTAACCTGGAAAATGTGTGTGATAAACAGAATAAGTATCCAGAGACTGGGCAAGGTGAAGATTGCCCACAGCCTCAGCAGCATCCCTCTCAGAAGCGGGAGGGGAGAGAGGAACAGTCATGCTCCCCTGGGCATACAGAGGGAGGTGGAGCAGGAGGAGAAGAGAGGAGAGGGGAGGGGAGGGAGTGGAGGGGAGGGAAGGGGAGAGGAAGGGAGGGGAAGGGGGAGGGGAGGGGGAGAGAGGAATCATGGCTGATCACTCTAAAGAGGTGGGATCATGTTTGAATCTTGTGAAAGAAAGCTATCAGAGGCTGGGGGGACAGAAAATAATATAGTAATTATAATAATAACAGCATAGAGTGGAAGGGGTTCATGGGATTTGTGTGGAATAATAATTCGTAGGAATAATCAGCTTGTCAGCACTAAATGAAACTTTGAAGATAAAAGAGGGTCAACAATAACATACACATACAGGTGAAAAACTTTGAATTGTTTCCCATGTCATATTCTTTGAGGTATTTCTCAGGCAGGGATCTATTTTCTGTTCCTGCCCTCATCTGGACCATCAGACTCAATCCAGAGAAGAAGCACAAGTCTGTCCAAGAACAGGGGGTGGGTGGTGGCGCTGTATGGGCCTGGAGGCTTCCCTCGACAGCTGGGGCTAGAAGACAGGTTTCAAAAGGCGGTACCTCCTCCCTGCTGCAGGGGGCTCAGGGATCCCTTTCCACATCAGCAGGATCAGAACCAGCTTCACCAGGATTCTGGACAAAGAAGGAAACATCTATTCTGGGGCTCTCGGTCAGCTCTGAACATCGGTCCTGGTCTCCTGGCGGCATGGGCAGCCAGAAGGACTTCCTTGGCTTTAGTCCCTTGGCATGGATGAGACAGCCACTACCTCACTCAAGCAAAAACAAGCTGCTAGATGGTTTTCCAAGAACAGGCTCTGGAAGTTAAGTTTGATGGACTTGCTCGTGACCACCTCCCCAATTGCAAGTCTGAGTTTGACACAGAACTGAGAAATACGATTTATGACTCTAAACATTAACGTGGTAAAATATCATATAAAATAACCCTAATCTGTAATTCTTAAGCTCTTGAAATCTCACTAAAGTGCCTCTGGGTCGGTACTTCTTTCTGTGGAATCAGATTTGCAGGATTTGGCTCTTACATAAAAAGAGGCACTGATAGTTCTCCCACTGGGGAGACCACAGAGAACAGGGCTCTATGATCAGGTTTGGTGTAAGGCTTTCCTCCTGCTTCACCTTCAGTCTGCATTTAAATATTTCTCTAACTGAATGCAACTCCCCATAGAAGCAGGAAATGAACTTAAGAAAGAGATTGTGTCTGATGTGCGCTCACCCTAGCGAGGTGACCTCACTGATCACAAACCTGCTACTAACATGGCACCAGAGAAGCCCCTCAAGTTTGGATGATGCTATCGGGGGGATGCCTTCGTGTGATTCACACACCCCGTCCATTACCACATTCTTCTTCTGGAACATCACGGGTGGGGTGGGAAAAGTTCTGTGTCCCCCATGAGGCACAGATTCAAAAGTCCATGGAGAAATGGAAGGTGGATTTTATGATGAAAACTACAATGTCAAACCAGGCGTGGTGGCGCATGCCTGCAATCCCAGCATTTGAAGGCTGAGGCAGGAGGATCATCATTGCAAGTTCGAGGCCAACCTGGGCTACTAAGTGAGCTCAAGACCAGCCTGAACTGCATAGTGAGACACTGTCTCAAGAAAAAGAAAAAACCAACTAAAAAAAGCATATAGCATCAAGAGGAATTCAAATAGACACCCCAAGTCACATCTATCTTACAACAAAACTTGGAAATCACAACTACAGTGATACAGAAAAACTGAAACAGTAGAAAGGCAAGGATGTTGGAGTCTGGAAACAAAAACAGCCGGGGCTGGGCTCCAGCGCTAACTTCCTGACCTCTATGAAGCCCGCCCCTGACACCACCAGTTTTCCTATGAGGATTCAAGAGGATGATTTGTGGCAGACTTGGCCCAGTACCTGAGTTCCCTAAAAGTTAACATGTTGTCATTACTGCTATACTAGCATTGGGACTTTATCAGAGCAGTAAGATGTAAGAGGGACAGGGAAGTGGC